GTAGAAAGAGTAACATTTTCATTTGTTGTATTATATCTATTTAATCGTGGATCTTTTGTTTTAAGTAATCGAGGATCTCGTATGACAGTTGAATCTTGTAATGCAATTGGATTATATATTAAATTATTCATTGATGAATTTTCATTTGAACGATTTATTAATTTCATTGTTCGTTTTCCTGATCCAATAATAACAAGAAATAATTGTTTTGATTCAAATGTTATAGGTAAAAAAAGTGATGATAATACATTCGATGGACAATCTTTTGTATTAGCTGCTAATATATACATATCACGAATTAATGATGAACTAACACATTTACTAATAACAGCAGCTCGTCCTGATGTATCTAATGTATCAACATATTTTGAAAATAATTCATTATCATTAGTATTTGTTGATGATGAAATAAGTGTTAATATAAGTATATCACGAACAGTAAGTGACTCACGAATATAATCCCAAAGATCTCCTAATCGAAGTCGTCCAAGTATAATAAGTTGTTCAGGAATATTTTCTATTAAATAATCACTTTCACCATAAACATGAACAGATTGACATGGAATTTTTATATCAGATGGATGAATTATTCCACGCCATTGATTTGGTAAATGTGTTATGGATTTTGGTTGACATCTAAAGGATAAAGATGAAAGATTTATATAAAAAAAATACAATAATTTACATTGATGATGTTTCATTTTGAATTTTTGATGGATTATAATCATCACGAATAATTGGTTGATAGGGCATATTATATTCAGTATTATCATTAGATGAAGGAATTGTAGATGAACAAGAAGATTTATTAATATTATTTAAACCATTATCATTATCGTCATCATCATCATCATCATTATCATCGTAAATTAATGCATCGATACCTGTTGGACTTTCTGGTTCAATATAATCATTATCAAGATCCACTGCCGAGAAAATAGGATCTGATTGTTCATGAATTGAGTGTTGAGATTGAAGTATTGAAGGTTCATTAGAGTTTATTTCCTTGGTTACAGATATGGAAGAGAGATCTTCTAAAAATTAAACGAATAAAACTTTTCTTTTTTTAAAGAAAAGAATAAGATTTTAACCAGAAAGAGTTGATGAAAATGTTTGATTATCCGATCCAAAGTTTGTCGTAGATTTTTCATCGGTAGTCAAAATTATTGATTTTGAAGTTTCATCAATAGATTCAGTTGTTGTTAGTTTAATCTCAATACTTTCTTTAGCAATATTGGTGGATTGATTATCTTTGTCACTATCAACTTTTTCCTTCGATGAATTTTGTTCTTCCTTCAAAACATAGAATTAGAAAAAAAAAATCTTTTTACTCACTTTAGTTCAGGCATGTGCAGTTCCAGTAAACTATCTACCACAAACTCACATTGGCTACATTGAATCAGTGTTCATTGCTGAAGGAATTTATTTAACTAATAATATCTGTTTGAGCTCGTAGCTAGGGCTCATAGTATATGTAAAAGTCTTAGGAAAGTTCACACCATAAGGTCTTTCTTGTTGAGTTATGGTTGTCTTATTTGATTTTAGCCTATTGCAGGATATAATGAGAAAAATCACGAACAAGGAGTTTCGACCTGAAATTCTTCCTGACAATAGCTCTCATGGTCTTTATGATATTCTCAAAGTTTCAGTTCAAACGAATGTTTCTCTTCTGAGCAAAGCTGGACAAATACGAGTATCTACTTGTACTCGAGTATAGTTTTTGTGGTACTTCCACTCAAGAAAATCTGTACTTGCCTAGCTCTGCTTTTGAGATAGCACGCTTACAAAAAACGTTACTTTCATAGAAGAGTTTCAATAAGAACTTAGTTTTTAGGCATACGATATCTTAAGAAAAAATCATCCATTTGAACTGAAACTTTCAGGACATGACGAGGACCATAAAGGCTATTGTTAGGAAGAATTTCAGATTGAAACTTCTTGTTGCAATTTTTCTCGTGATATCCTGCAATAGGTTGAAAGTTCAGTAAAATGACCAAAACTCGAGAAGAAACGCCTAATGATACAAACATTTTCAGGATTTTTATCTACACAATGAATTCTACCTGTGAGCAAAATATAAGCTCAAACGGAGATTATCAATTGGATGGGCTCCCTCGCGAAGCATTAGTACACCCATACAGTATGGATATATCAGGTAGATCACTGAACACTGATTCAGTGTGTTAATAGATTCACTGTTGGTAAATCACTGTCAGTATTTCCAATGAAACTGCACATCCCTATTTTAGCCTCTTACTAATGTAGACAATGGTGAAAACTTATCATTATTAATAAGATCTTGTCGAGTAACTTTTATTCCTGCACGTCTTGCCATTTCTTCGGCTGTTTGTTGTTCAGCATTAATAATTCTTTGAACTTCTTTTTCAAATTGATCTTTACGTTTTTCTTTCTCTTCTAAAAAAGAAATAATATTTGATAGGAAAGAGAATTTTTATTTTGTATTCCAGATAAATACCCGGTGGTAACATATCTTCAGGTTTCATTGCAACAATTTGTTTAGCTGTTAAATCTTTGGAAAGAATTTGTTTATAAAAATACTAAGAAATATAAAAACAAAAACAAAACAGTGATTAAGTATTATCAAAAAAACACTTTTTTTTTTTGTATGAAATATACATTATTATTCATATTACTAATATTAGCAATTAACGAACGAAATTTGTTTTTATATGGATTATCAATTTTACCATAAACATGAAACATTTCCTCTTCGATTTTATGAACAATTAATCGTATATCTTCTTTTATAAAATCTTTTTCACCATTTTTTTCTAATCTAAATTTGTTAAATGAAGTTTAAAATCAATGAAGAATAAAAAAATATGACAGACCGCATTAGAATTTTGTCATATAAAGCTGTTGGAACTTTTGATCGTATATCAACAGTATTATTCATATTAGATATTGTATTATTTAATCGTCTTGTAAGTTGTATTGGAGTCTTTTTATTTAGAATTGATTTTGTAATCGTTTGTTGATTATTTGTAATTGGTTTCGATGAAAATTTAGATTTAGTTGTATTAACACCACATGATAATGATCTTGATAAATTAGTAGATTGATTATCTCTTAATATAATTGTTTGTTGTAAAGACGATTTCATAATTTCATAAGATGGATGTTGATTAATCCAAGTAGATAAATCTTCTATTTTAGGAACTAAATTTTTCTCGAGAATTTTTTTACTTTTACTTTCATATAATAAAATGTCTTCACGTGTTGGAATTTCTTCATTATCCTAATTTATTAAAATGATAAAAAGAAAAAGAAAAATAAGAAGAAATAAAACTTCTTTTCTTTTTTTTTGTTTTTACTTTTCCTTTGCTTCGTTGAATAGCTTGAAGTGTATCATTGATATGACGACGAATACATGTAGATGAACAATAAACCCAACCTGGTTTTGCTAAATACTTACAACCATGAACAATACAATCAACAACTTTTGATTCCTATAGAAATGTGAAAGTTTTATATTTTAAAATAGACGTTTTTATTTTGTATTGTAGATACTTACTGGTAATGAATTACGTCTAAAAGAGACATCCGTTTTTGATTGTTTTCTTGATTCATCATGTGAAATACTTTTCAATAAAATTTTATTTTCTCTAACACCAAGATTACTTGTTTGTAATCTATCTTCAGAACGTTTTCGTTTTGTTGGAACTGGATCATCAGATGATTCTGCTGATTCTATCATAGAATCTGAATCATTTTGTCCTATTTTTAAAATAATGAATAATTCAATAGATAGAATACAAGCTTTCTTAAATATGAAACGACTGATCAATGACCATTTCAAGTATTAAATGATTTAGTTCACTGTTTTAAATAATAAAAATATATTTCTAGTGAATTTACTGAGTTCAGGATGCCCTGCTACCAGTATCTCACAAGAACCTTTGTTTACTTTATGAATTTTTATCACTTGGCAACAAAACGCTTGCAAATGTCCAATTTACTAACTTGTGGAAGAATTTTTCATAGAATGCTATAGAAATTGGGTAGATATCTGGTAAATACCTATCGACTACGACAATTCTCAGTAGAATATTCAACCAAGGTTCTGCGACATAGTGGTAACAGGGTACCTTGAATTCAGTACATTCACTAGGGATACTTGATTCTTGTTTTCTTCTTCAAAATCACTTTCATCGGATTTAAACATATAAACAAATTGTACTCACATAATTGATAAATTTAAATAATCAAAGAACTCAAGATAATCAAGGATTCTATTAAAATGTTGGTTCCTATATGATACTTTCGATTGATATCGATTATTATAATGAATAGGCCATAATGAATTGAACTACGTGTAAATGCAATTTCCTCTCATTTAAATTCATACAAAATATTCAGTCATATTTCAAAAGATAGAGAATTTCGAACATTACAAACCTACGAACATCACTTTTGAAAAGAATACATTACCTTTGTACGGCAATCCAAACATTTATATATCCTGTGTATTTCAACTAGAGGTCTGAATAGATTGCGCTGGGCCAAAAAAAGTTGTCGCATGGGTTGTCAACCTTTGAGTCAGCCCAGTTCCCGGTTTTCTATTAAAAAATTTTGATCCTTCAGTTGGGCTGAGCCAGATCGAACCGGTCTCGGCCCAGCCCATTACAACCTTTGATTTCCATTGAGACACATCGTTGCTCATGCTTTGCAAAAGCATGAAGGAGCATGGAGGTGTACATCGAAAGCAAAGTATTTTATATGAAAAGATAGAAAGTTTTCTTCTCTATTTGGCTGATTTACTTTTGGATATTCAAGCTTTTCTAGAGAGTTGAAAATCCCTTGAAAATATCCTTCATAGTAATTTTGACAAGATTTTTCCAACAATGAAGTTTTTTCTAATTAAAGTTCAGTTGCAAAGTCTTCATTTGATCACTGAAAAATGCAGAATTTCGTTTTCTACAGGACTACGTCGCTAGTGAACCACAGTGCGATACGTTATCGCCAAAATTCACAAACCATCGAGCAGGCTCCACAATGGATGTCAAGTTTTGTTTTTTTTCATTTGTTGTTCCCTGAATTTCTACATGAAACTGTCGGTGAAAGTTTTTCAAAATAGCCGAAAGCATAGACGATTTCATCGAGAATATTTTCGTTGTTTTGTAGAAGTCTAGTGAATTTCTCAATAGCGATGTCACACATTTTTTCATTTTTTTTTGTTTTTCCATAATAGGAGATATACAGTGTACCTCACTGTGTTGGTTGCTTCGAAATTAAAAAACGAAATTCTTTGTAAAGGTGAAGTACACATTTTTGTTGAGCTTGAAATTGTCCATCTTTTGACATA